GGGTTATCAAATTTCTTTCAGGTGAATAGAAACTAAATGAAGAATGTAGAAGCTTGCTGCTCAAGCAGTTTCAGTTCCTGTTTCTTTTTCAGTTTGTAAGAAGTAACAAACAAACAGTTTAATAAGGGGCAAGTCAGTGCATGTATAACCCTTTGGGAGCACCTTGCCCGATAAGCAATTTACTTGAGTGACACAACTGAAATGGAGAGGGAGAAGTAAACAAACTAACTTTTTAAATTGTGCAAATGAAGAGGAATGGAAGCAGGCTTGTGAAGCAGGAGAGCTTTGCCTTTCATCTTCTAATCAGACAGCACTGACAGAGCAAACTCTTAGTAGCTGGGGAATGACAGTGAATGGCATGTGTGTTTTCAGGGCTGGAGTGAAAATATGCCGATGAGTTGGGCCAAATGGATGAGAAAATTGTGTACAAACTCTTAGTGTATTCCCTTACTTTCTTCCAAAAGGGTTATTTGTATATGGCTGCTCCTGCTCTTGCTAAAACCAACTTTTACCCCAGATAAACTCTCCATGTGTTTTTTGACTGCTTTGACTGGACTGCCCATGAGTAGGGAATTTGGATATAAATTTGCTGAAAAATGCAGTATTTTCAATTAGGTAGTTAATATGTACCTGCAGATTAACAACTGCTGGGAATTTGTATTGTTCAGATTCAAGGCTGTGCCTACAGAGGGGACTCGACATCCTGTGGAGAGTATTGATCTGGGTTGTAGAAACTGCTTCTAAAATTAAAACTAATCCTTCTAGAATATAGATATATATGGATCCAAACTGAATCACTTTCAGTACATTAAAGTTGCATATACAGCTTCTCTCCGATGTGGATGCTTCTGCAGAGAATTTGACAAATGCTATGTGTTTTCCACATTTTAGAAGATATTTTGAGTTTTTTGGACAATGTGAAGCAAGTATTTACTATTAGCTGACAGTGGTAAAAATGAAATATTCTATGTACATACACAGTTAGGTATAGGCACATAATCTGTGTACAGATGTGTGCACATATATAACTTAATATGCATATATATGTTAATATATATGTATGTATACTAATTGGGATATGTGACGTTTTATTGTGATAATGGTGAACTTGGTCTTCCAGTACTTGGTCTTCCAGCCTTGTCCCTTGTCAGTTAGTCTGGGCAGACTAACTTCAAGTGGGTGTCAATAATGCAAATGCTTAAATGCATTTTGCATTATTAATGCACACCTATAAAAATATATGTAAATATAAACATTATAAACTGCAGCCTGCTCCTGAGTTGCCAGCAGTGAGTGGGTGCTGAAGAGTGTTGATCAGTGTTGATGACCTGACAAAGTGTGGGCTTGACCACCAAGCAGGCTTTCTCCAGTGGCCAAGTTTTTGCCTTAAAGAGGTAGAGAATGACTTAATAGTCTGCCTTACAAAGCAGTTCTGTGGCTGTTTTTTACCCTGAAGTGCCACGCTGTTATTGCTGGGTGTGAAGTTTGTCTCCCCCGCCAGGTCTGTGGCGCTGGGAGGCTGTGGCAGTGTGACTGCAGGTGACAGAGAGCAGGGCAGGAATGGGGCTGGCACGCCTGGGCTCCCTGGCACACCCTGCTGGATTAGCACTGCTGCGGTGGGCACAGGAATTGGGTGTCGGCTGCTCAGGAAGGCACTTGGAAATCTAAACCCCTGTTTCCACAGCACTCTGCTTTTTTTAGGTTCAACCAGGGGCACTGTTTGAATGTTCTACCTGCGTTTAAATCGTGCTTTTGGGTAGCTGAGACTCAACATGTGATATAAGCAAATGGAAATATTTCTTTAGCTTGTATTCTTACATGGAAACATAGAATTGATATGTGTTGTTGGCTTCCCCCTCACCCCACAGCTGAGGCTGATCCTTATCTTTAAGTTCAGTAAAGATAGATGAGAAGTTTGTTGATCTAAAATTTTCATTTTAAATCCATGTTAGGTTGAAGAATCTAACTTTACACAAAATTTACAAGAAAATTATTTACAAAAAATAGTTGGTCCTGAAGAGCCTTGTCTCTAACTTAACTAAAATAATGGTTATAGTAAAAACTGAAAATATCTGCCTTAATTGGTGGTGTAATCCAGAAGTAAACATAGTACATTCCATTCTTTGAGAACAGCCAAATTGACTGTGTCCCTGATCAGCACATCCTGAACCAGTGTAACTCTGTGTTAGCAATTATGTGCAGTAGCTACAGCTATATTTTGCAGAAAAAAAAGGACTGAGCTTCTCAGATTCTCAGCAGAACTGTAACATTCTGAGCATTCATTTAAGTATATGCTCTTTTCCTAAAGTATAGCTGTTTCTGCTTTGACATTGATTACTGTATGTTCTCACTTAAGATGCAAAATTGACAAACAAGTGCATAGCAAGTAGCTAATGGAAACCATGTATATTGGGACTATTAATGGTGTTTTCTACAGGAAAACGTATTTTTTTGTTGTTGAAGAACTGCCATCTGTTAAGGCAATAACATTTTTGCCTAAATACCGTATGAATTAAGTGTGAATGCTTTATGGACTTGGAGCTATGAAACTAGTTCTTAAAAAGCATGTTTCATGTGATTAAGCAGTGCATTTAATCTTTTTCTCCTGGAATAGTCTGATCATGTTTTTAAAGACATAGTTGCTAGATTTAAGTCACAAGGATTTCAAGTTTTTCCTAGGGTTTTTTTTTAATATTATTTTAGAATACATTTGAGTAGAATGGAAGCAATGAGCTCTGGCTCCTGTTCAGGAGTGGCTCCTCTGCTCTGCTTGCCCTGACAGCCGTGGGTAGTCAGTCCTGCCTCTCCTCTGGCAGCCTGCTGGAAAGCACCTGGAAAGCTGACTGCTGCCTGTGGGATGGGAGCTTGGGTGTGGGAGTGTGCTATTGCCTCTTGGGCTGCTTTATATCTCTGTGATCTTCAGATGTGTGGGCAGAGAGCCAGAGCTCTGACAGGTGGCCATGGGGAAGTGAATGAGGACAGCCGGGCCTGTTTGTGAAGGAAGGAAAAGGTGTTACTCCCATTTCAGGCACTTGGGGTTTGATGGTCTGACTTACTGGTGAGGGCTCCTTTGCTGCCTTGTGGAGTAAGAGGAGTTGCTGTGCTCTTGTGATTTCAAATGAAACATTGGTCCTGTTGTTTGTATCCCCAGTATTGGTGTCCTAGTACTGGCTGGAAGATTGCCTGGTCGGTGGTGTGCACTGGCTCTGGCAGCTGACTTCCCTTTTTCAGCATGGTCATTCTGACAGTCTTGGAAATCTTGGCATTACTACCTCCTCTTCTCTGCTTCTCACTGTAGTTTGATATTTGATTTTTTTTTTCTGTTGACCTGCCTGAAATTGCTTTTTTTGGATCTCCTTTGCCTTTGAATCAGTTACAGGTAATACAGAACAACAGGAAGCCCCAGCCTGTGTGCTTTGTGTGGAAGTACAATGGATGGGAAGGCAAAGCCTAAGGGGACCTTTGGTTGCTCTGAGTGTGGCTGTGGTGTGGTGTCAGGAATTGCTGATGGAGCTGGGGTGGCATGTGGGTGACTGCTTTCAATGGGCCAGGGAGAGCAGATCACTAATGATTTGTTTGTGTATGCTGTCCACTGCTTACTGCACAAGGGCAGCACGGAGAAACTGCAGAGCTGCCTGGTGACTCCTTTGTCTGTTAGTGATCTTACCACAACAATACTGTAAGAGTGGCAGCAGTGCAGAAAGCACAAGCCATTCATTAGTTTCTTGAATATTTTGCAATTGCCTTTGAAAAGCTTTTCTAAGGTTTTCTGTCTTCTGTTGAGAGTTATTTCTAACCCTTTGAATAGTCTAGAGGAATTACTGGGAAGATTTGTGTGTTTTAACAGCTGTAGGAATCTGTGTGGAGTGTAAATAGCTTTGTATGTGGAAGTACATAAGTTTAGCAGAATAAATTTATTACAGGAAATTTCCTTATGTTAAACATCTAATGGTGTCAGAAAACAAGTTCTGTGTCTGTCTGTCTCCAGAACATTCAGGATTTGGAGCAGGGAATAAGAAACCAATAAATTGAAAAGCAAGGATAACATCCCTGTCAGACACATGATTCTTGTTCCTCTGAAGGCCTTGGCAGGTTTGACCAGGTAATAGGCATGGATACTTCATCTTTGTGTGATGAAAAAGTTGTTCAGGCCTTGCCTCTTGCTTGTATGAAAGCTTATTTCATTGTTTGGCTTCGAAGCTGCCAGTGAACTTCTGTGTTGTCTTCATCTGAGTAGGGCTTGCCCTTGTGGGCATCAGTAGCACTGGCTGCTGCACCGGCTCCCCCTCAGGGATGCCTAAGAAAGGATGCCCTTAGTTGAGGGGAATAAAAATCTTATCAGCATTTGCATTTTTGTCTCTCCTGTTTTTACTGCTAATGGTTCAGTGCATTTTGCAGCTCTTATTACTGGTCAAAGCCTTGTGTGTCTGTCTTGGGAATGGCAGGCATCTGTCCTCCTGTCTTACTAATGGGAAATGAGAAGTTCACAGTATTCCAAAGGCCTCTTAACTAGCTTGTCAGAATGTACTGTGTATATGTTTAGCTTTTTTCCTGTTTGGATGGAACTAATTTTGCATATTCCCTAAAACCTACAGATAAATCAATGCAATGCAGTATGTGTGCTGCAGTTGTAACTCTTCTGCTGATCTGCTATTTGCCCTGCTGCCTGTAGATCAGGCATCTACATAGTTAAACACGTGGTTGGTGCCCCTGAACAGTAATGGGAAGATGCAGCTTTTATCAGGCAGAGTCATTTGTCTGGTGCAAGCAGTTTTAATTCACATTATTAATAATAAATTCAGGTGCCTATAGTGATTTTTTAAATTTCATAGAACAGCTAAACATAAGAAAACCTTCTTCCCCAAACAGTGCAGAGCTAGTTAAATGTTCCTAAACTCAAGCTACAATTGAGATGATTAATTCCTTTGTTCTTCTGCTGATGTTCATTAATCATAAATACTGGCTGGATTACAGTGTAATGACTGTATTTTTCTTTTCAGGACATAAGGGACATTGCTGCTTGATAGAATGGATGAACAATCACAAGGAATGCAGGGGCCTACTGCTCCACCATTTCAGCCACAGGTACATATATCTGGGTTTTTTCAACTGTAAATCATTTCTTAAATAGGGATAACATTGTTTCTTGTGGTAACAGTGAAACTGTGAACACATAGAATGTATTCTCATGATTTTGAAATGAATTCTATATCAGTCCAGTAATCCATAGAAAGTAATTGGTTTTAATTTTTGCCTCCTGCTGCTTCACTGACTTTGGGAAGTTGGAGTTGTAGTGTGAGGAGGAAGCAAAGAGGAATACAGTTGTTTCCTTAAGAAATGTTGAGTTGTTAAACACTATGTTTCAAAATTGTGTCCAAAATACCCTATTTATTTCGGACTGTTGGCTTTACCCACATCTTCTTACACCTCCTGACAGTGATACTGTATGAATTTCTGCCACTACATTGACAGAAATGTAATGGTTGAAACCAGGCATCAGGTTTCAACTCCACAACCTCCCTGGGCCACCTCCCTTTTGCTGTCACCCTCACAGTGAAAAAAATCTTTCCTGATGTTTGGATGAAACCTTCAGTGTTTCAGCCTGTGCCCATCACCTCTTGTCCTGTCACAGGGACTGCTGAAGGAAGCCTGACTCTGTATTTTAACATGTGTTTTTCAGGAATTTGAGCCCATTGATGAGATTCCCCCTGAATCTTCTCTTCTGTAGGCTGGATGTTGCCAGTGCTGTCAGCCTTTCCCCTGTGATCTGTGCTGCTGAGCCCTGGTTGCTTTCTCCAGTAGTCTGTGTAGGGGTGGTCCAGAGCTGGATGCAGCACTCCAGGTGTGCTCCTTCCAGCACTGAGCAGAGGGGAAGGATCTCCCTCCTCCTCCTCCTGGCACCACTCTCCAAATGCAGCCCAGGACATCCCTGTCCAACCTTGGAGTGCATTGCTGGCCCCTGTTTGTGTTGGTGTCCAGTGGGACCCCAGGGCTGGCCTGTGGGGCTGCTTTCCAGCAGGTCAGTGTCCAGCGTTCCTGCTGCATTTTGGGGTTATCACAGCCCATGTATGGGGCTTCCCACTTCCCTGTGGTGAATTGTGTGAGGCTTCTGGCAGCCCATTTGTGCAGCCTGCCAGGGTCCCCTGGGATGACATCACAACCCTCTGGTACATCCAGTCCTCCCAGTTTGTGTCATCAGCAAACTTTCTGAGATCACACTTGGCCCCATTATCCAGATCATTTCAGGTGATGTTGATCACTACTGGACTGAACCCACTATTGATTGCTGAGGTACACTGCTAGCTGCAGTCCTCCACCCACAGTCAGTGCTATCAGAAACTCAGTTGCTATTTGGAATGAAGTGCCTGAAAGCTCCATCAGAGTTTGTTATCTATGAAGTTAATACACTGTATTCCTTTACATCACAAGGATGTTTTGGGAGTGCAGATAGTACTCCCAAACTGCTTACACATTGTAAAAAGGTTATGGAGGAAGATAGAAAAATGTGGATTAGCAGTCTGAGGCAGTAGACTCTTAAATTCCAGAACTTTTGTGAGAGTAGAATGAGAGCATTTTAGCATCTAAATAGAGAAAAGCATTAATTTCTTGCTAGAGCTGAAAAACTATAAACTGAAGGCAGCTTATACATCCCTTACTTTTTGGGGTATGTTTTTTGTTTGGGGTATGTTTGTTTGTTTTGGCATTCCCAAAGCTGAAGAACAGTGGTTTATTAAGTCTCTTCTTATATGGAAGCATATCTCTGCTCAGCATTGCTATTCTGCTCTGTTTCCTTGTTTGCCTGTATTCTCCTCAAAATGAGGACTCAGAGCCCTGTGCAGTATTCAGTGCACACACAGTGGACTGCAGTAGTGAAACATTTTGTCTGTTTCATTCAATTGCTTTTCCTAAAGATGTCTGACTTGCTTTTTAGTGGTAACTGACCAATCAGTTTAACTTTTCGTGGAAGTTTTTCCATGGTGTTGTGTAAATCTTTTCCCTGTGTGGTAATAGCTAATGTAAAAGCAATGATTCACAGTCTTTCGGGTGGTATCTCCCATTAAGTTTTGGATTGGTAACCTTGAGATGTTAGTATTGAGTAGCAGGGTGAAAATCTAAGGGAATCTTCTGCAAGGGTTTGCAGCCATGTTTTCAGCTGGTGTTCTGGATAAATTTGGAATCTAAAGAAATTTTATTGCAGCATTATATGCATCAAATAGACAAGTTTCCTTTGGAATTTCACTGGTAACTTCTCCAAGAAAATAACTTTTCTGCTGCTGTTTCTCATCTTGGAGCTGGCTGTTAGTCTCCTTAATGTTCTCTCTCAACTGGAGTGAGCTTAGTTTTATAGCTTAGGAATCCTCACTGAAGGAACCTGGCTTAACATTTTTAGAAATGTGTGGTGTGATTTCTTCAACAAAAAAGCCCAGTTAGGAAAAACCTGTCTGACTCCACTCTTAACTGCTTATTGGAATCTCTAAATTGTTTCAATCCAACTGTTTGTTTGGTTTTGTTTTTGAACTGAATCTGTAAGTAATTAAAAAGAAATGATCAAGTTGATTTTGAGCTTTATTTTAACAATCCAGATGAATTTTTGGCTGGATATAGTGCACTGGCATACAGCGATGGAGCAATACTGGGGAGGTTGCAGTGGGAGAGAACAAGGACCTCCTGTGAAGTCTTGCTCACTGGAGAAACTGATGTGCGCTGCGTGCTGGGCTCACCGATATGTACACTGGGATATTTTGGTCAATAAAGTCTTAGGTGGCTTCTTCAGTGTTGTCTTAACAGATGTGAGAAACAGGCTGTCTTTTTTGTGCCTGTCTAGGTCAGTACTGAAGTTCATTGGTATTTTATGGGGCATGAAATGCTTTTGAAAATGTAAATCTCAAAGGTAATGGTAACTGAGTGCAAATAGAAAGTTTTGGAGAAAGAGTGAAGTAGAACATCTCTTGAGAGCTGTGGACAGTGACCGCCACTGTCTGGTATATTTTTAGAAGTTAACTCTGAATGCTTTCTGCTAACTTCTGTGGCCTTCCTGTGGATGCTTTCTTTCCCTGGCAGTCCTCTGCTAAATTATCTATCAGCTGTTTTCTGAGACTGAAACAAGTCTGAAAAGGAGTATGATGGTTTCTGTTGAGATTGTCTCTGTTTGCTTGTTGTATAAATGAGCTCTTAATGCCATGATTAATTAATTAGTATATTATGATGTTTGTCTTTCCTCTAGTAGGAATGTTTAAGCTTATCTTTCCTCTCCCCACATTTCTTCTCTCTGCAGGATTACAACTGAATGTATGGCTGAGATCTGAAATTTACAGGAGTCTGTTCAGACAGGAAAAAGAAAAACATTGTTGCAGTTTTAATACATTGTTTGGCCAGAAGTATAAAAAATAAATTTGAAAAAAGGGAGCCACTCTGGTTATTTTAATGTTGTCAGATAGATATCTCTTCCATGGAAGCTGTAATATTGTGAGTCTCACTGATTTCCTTGGCAGTACAATGTAATGTGATCATTAGCCAAGTGTGTATAATCTGTTCTGTTATGGTCTCAGACCGAGGGAAATCTTTATCCTGCACAAGCCTATTCCCCACAAATTGCATTGTGGTGAGGAGAGACCCAGTGGTAGTTGGAGATGTGCAGCTATGTTGCTTCTCATGTCAAATCTCCACATCTAAATTGTGTGACAGGACAAGGGAGCAGATGAGACAAGCTGTCAGTCAGCCACGCTGCCCTTTGAAGAAGGGCCATGGGGGGGAAAAGGTGCCGCAAATGGGCTGTGAAGTTTACATACACTGCCCACTGTTAAACAGATTACCTCTAATGAAGTGTCTAATGCTCAGGCCATATCAGCCTAATCCTTGGTGGCAGTTCATCCCTCAACTGCCAAAAAACACGGCCCTCTGGCCCTCTCTCGCCACTCTGGCCGCCAAGCACAGGGAGGTGCCCGGTCTTAATAAAGCAAGACAGTGTGTGATCTGACATGCAAATGTAGGTCATTGCATATGTAAATGTGTGATTACAAACCTGCATGCCAAAACACATTAGTGAGACTTTGCTCTCAGCATGCGGTTGTCACACTGCCTTAGTAGTTCACGATAATATTTGTCAAGTTGCTGTGCAGAGGCTGCAACTCCCAAATCTAATGGGGAGTACACAATACTTCTTAAATATAGCCTATTTAGAGAGTCTGTATCTTGCAGCTCTGTGTAGAGAATTTAAAATCTTGAAGTGTAATTTCAGACATTTTCCCTAAAAGGCCTATAACTACCTCATTAAGCTGGGTCCTGCGCTTTGGGATGCACTGGAGCATTAATGCTGCACCACTTTTGTCAAAACGAGAGTTCTCATATTTTGATTTCTGGAGCAACAGAAGGATATATAAAAATATACTGCATAGCCACTGAAAGAGGGACATGAAAATACTGTCATAAAGCTGATGCTTTATTATGGGTTTGGGTAGGGTTTTTTTTTAATTTTTGGATGGCAGGAGCTAGGACCTAGGAACCATGGCAAATTTAAGCCTGATAGGATTTCTTCTCTTCTGTGTCTCAAACTCCTGACAAGCTGAAAATATTCTAAATACACTCAAGAATTTATAATTTTCAATTCTCACTCTACAAATGTACAGTGAATGTTTTCTTTAGAACATCTTGTGATTAGTCAGGAACAGTTTTGGTTTTAATGCATTGGAATGGAGGAATTTTAATAGTTTAAACCATATTCCTTCATATGTATCTTTACACTGGTGTGATTAGTCTTACTGAAATTTAAGTCTTAAATGCAAACTTTCTTTGCAATATCTTTGATTCTAGAAAGCCTTACGACCTGACATGGGCTACAACACCCTTGCCAATTTCCGAATAGAGAAGAAGATTGGCCGTGGGCAGTTCAGTGAAGTTTACAGAGCAACCTGCCTGCTGGATGGGGTACCTGTGGCTCTGAAGAAGGTTCAGGTAAGGATGATTTTTGTATAAATATTAAAAGGATTGGTACACTTAAATTTGAAAGGCATGTGGCATTCTGATGTGATTTTAATAAATTTTTAAATGTTTGGAGATAGTAGGGAATTAAGAACTTTGAAAATTCATACGTGACTTTATATAGTATTCCACAAACCAGTGTTTTGAAATTGAAAGTAAAGTCCAGAGTTGCTGAAAAAGAAAACACATATAAATGAGCTGTATTTCCTAACCAAAGCTTGGAATCTAGAAATAATATGAATATTTAGTGGTGTCTAATGTGAAAATATTTTATTCAAATCCATGCATTTTTTATTGAATAAACATCTGTAATCTTTCAGTTAAGTAGCCGTGCTTCAAAAGTGCATAAATCAAATAAGGTCTGTATGTAATGAAAATTGTAATAGCGAAAAGGAGGGGAGTTACTGTTTCAAGAGGCTGAAAACTACCTGAGACAAATACAAACCAAAACTGTGCTTGAATCCATTGCTCAGAGTTTCCTTCAGATTTTGGGATACAGCTCAGTTTATATGATCATCTTCATGAATAATACATCTGTGTGGGACTCTACATGGTAATTAAATGCAAGTGCACTGTGGATCTAAGTGAATTGCATTGGTCAAAAATATTTCTTGAGGAGCCTGAGTGTTTGCAAGGTTCATGATTTAGCCAGTAGTGAAACAGCAGTTGTCACAGAAGATGGAAGAGCAGCGGGCTAATTAAGTTACTGTGGCCAAGAAACATTAAGCCCAGCACTTGTTAATTTTAACATAAGAAATGGACTAATTTTGTTCAGATACTTTGTCTTAGCAACTAGCAATTTTTAAAATGTTTAAATCAAAAGCAGCAGTTGAAATGGAAACAGCTTTTCAGACTGAAACATTTCTACTGTCACACAGGCAAAAGACAGCTTGAGCTATGCCTCTCTCCAGTCTCATTTCCAGTCTCTATTTTTGTTTGGAGCTACTCAGAGATATTAGTTTTAACACCATTACCCTCTGGATTTACTATGAAAGTTCTCTGACAACGTGTTTAATTTTGAAATCAGAACTTAAATTGGCATTTCACTTTTGATCTTGAGATAAGTTTAGTATAATACTTGAAGAAGTACTGCCATCAGATCTGAAAGGGTATTTTTACCTTTATAGACTGCAAGACAATATGTGTAATATTCTGTAGATTATTTTCTAGAGTTTCTGCATTTTAATAGTTTTGGTTTTGCTGAGTTAAATGCATGCACTGTAAATTTCTCTGTCATATCTTGACTTGCTGTTCACTTTCTGTGATTTCCTGTGTGCTGCAGCACCAGGAGGCAGGGCTACTCCTGGCAGTCATAAAAAAGGAGACTTGGTTCCCCCTTCTGGGAAAACTGCCAGATATATACTACTTCAAAAGCTGAAATATATTCTAAGAACTTTGATCAACAGTCTTAAAACATTAGGCTAATTCTTCCTTCATTTTCAGCGTGTGAGAAACCAAAAAGGTCAAATGTGACTTAAAAAGCATGTCAATTAAGGTGGATGTGGAATGCCTGGGTACTTGAAGAAAGTCATAAAAGTCCAACCATGAAATTTTTATAACAGTGCTTGCATTAAGAATAGAGGCATTTTAGCATGTGTACTCCTAGCAGCATTTCAGAAGTCAGTATGTGTAGCTGTATTCTCACAGCAGACTTCCCCATTTGATAGAAGATTTTTTGGATGTCTGAAAATGACATCATACTGTCCTTGTGCAGGTGATGCTTTCTACAGCAGGAAAGCTTTCTTACTTAATTTTTATTTAATCCTTTAATAATTTTCTAAGAATATACTTGGTTGTTGGTAGGAAATAGTGTTAAAAATTTGTGCCTTTCCCAAATGGCTTCATTGTGACAGGGTTCCAATTGTCTTTAAGTGTCCAACATAGGTTGTTGGTTTTCCAGTAGAAGTTACTGCCTAGGGCTCATCAGGAGGGGCTGTGTTCTGTGAAAAGTCACTTTCCTTGTGGAGGCTGGATGTGTGTAGGACACTGCTGTCTGAATGGAAAGTGAGACTTGCTTCACCTGGAAGGGGAGAAAATTCCTAAGCACATAATGACAGCTCAGAAGGCAGCACAGGGTGTTTGGCACAGCCATTCCAGCTTGCACAGTTGATTTCTAAATCTGTTTTTTTTGGACAGAAGACCATCTAAATTGTTACTGTGCTCCTGTGACCTTTCTTAAGATTGTCTAGAAATATTTTTAGTAAATATAGTCACAATACGTAATTTTGCTATAAAATTTATTTTCATAGATGTCTTTTATTGAGAAGTAATTACTTTTCAGAGGAGCTGAAAAATGGGTCTGCTCTATGATAGTGCTTCTTCCTTTTGATTCCAGTCATGTTGGATTTTATTGAAATTAAAATACTCCTTTTTTCTGATGCCTTTTAAATGGAAGCTCAGCATGGACAAAACAGGAGAAATGCTTCTTTCAGTTATGAGAGAGGGGCTTTATTCTCTCTGTTTTACACCTGTGCATGGATTTCACTCTCTACATTAAGACAGTGTCTCTAAATGCTCTACAATGTGTTAAGTAACATAACTGAGATGTGAACTTCTACTTTCTCACTATCTGCCCATTCTCATCTCACGTTTTCTCACATCTTGCATGCCCTCCTTCCTCTCCAGTCTTGCAAGTCATGTCTGTGCCATCCCCTCCCCATTTCGTTTTCCTGGCTGGGTTAGGTGTGTACCTGTTCCCTTTAAGGGTATTTGGTAATGGTACCCCATGTGTGTCTCTGCTGCCAAGGGCTTGTGGGGCTTAGAATCTTTCAGTTATCCTCTCTTGGAGTTGCAGGATTTCAGCCTTTATTTGTTCCAAAAGGATTGCCAGTTTTGGGTTCTTACAAAGCTTTCCAACAAGAATGTTTATTTTTCGTTAATAAAATTTTATTTGGCTGAAATATGTACAATATTGATAAATGTTATATTAATGTGTACAAAATGTATGTTTATGGAATAAAATGTGAGCAGAAGCAAGTAGCAGTAAGATGCTGTGGGAGAAAGGACAAGCAGATGGTGACAGAAACCACTCTTCCTGAATTTGTAGTTGCTGCTGAGTCCAGATGACAGCAAGAAGTAGTATTCTTGATTTGGTTTTTATTAGGGTATGTAGCATAGTGAGAACTGTTTCAGGTTTTTTAATAGTAACTTAACCAGCAGAATTCACAAAATGGCATTTTGGGTCTTTTCTTCCTGTTGTACTCTTTGTGCTTCATCCTCCCATGTTTGATTTGTGTTTTTGTAATTAGGAAGGTAATAATTAGGTTCTCTCTTTTTCCAGCAAGGAACTGTGTTTCTGAGATGCTGTTAAAATATTACCTAAATAAAAACAGAAATAAAATCATATCTTCACTACTGAAATTTTACAAATGTTTAAGCTATATTTTGAGTTAAAGAAACATCAGAAAGGGTCAGTGCTAAGTAAGCTATGACCGTAGCAGTATAAATTGAAAAGTTTCTAGGTAAGATTTTTAACAGGTGCTAAGTTTCAGATCCAAACTATGCTGCAGATGATGCCTGAGGAAGCAGCAGTGCCTCTGTTCCTGCAGCTCTGGGTAACCCCTGCAGCAGAACACCTGGGGTACAGGGCAGTGTTCTGAGCAAGGGCCACTCCAAGGGCAGAGTAAGCAATTACTGGTCACAAATTATCTTTAAATGGCAAAAGAGTGGTAAATATCTAAGTCAGTGACTGTAAGGCTGGATGAGTTCGCTTTAGGAGCTATTTTTTAAGGAAACCTTAGCTACTCAAAATTTCAAGTATGTAAAGCTGCATATTTCAACAAAATTTCAGATAAATTGCATTTCTGCCTTACATTGCTCCATCTTTTTTTCTTTCATTCCAGAATTGGAGGCCCCATGTTAGAGATTCAGACAATGAATCCTTTTATCTAGGATGTACATTCATTATTCATTGTACATTGTCAGTGGATTGCTACTTCAGGCCTGAATTACAGTTAATTAATCTTAGAAAAGCACTTGTAATTTCACACTTTATGAAGCACTATTGTCTCAGCACAGCAGTGCTGCGGTGGCAAAATACTCTAATGCTTGTTGCTGTTCAGTATTGTATCTCTTAATATTTCTGTGCATTTGGGTCTTTATTTTGCTTGCTTCTCTGAAGGTTTATGTTACAGCAGTCATGCTTGTGATTTGGCTTGGAAATGCTTTTTGCTCTTTTTACTGTATACAGAATTTTGAACAGTACGGATGTAGGTTTATAATCTTTAAATTTATCCTTTTCAATGCTGAAAAGGAAAATCTGGAAAAGTGATGGTCCAGAGCAAGTGGAATTGGGTAGATTCCCAACTTGGCTCTTCACTTCAGATGATGAATTTGGTTGGTAGCTGGTAATTGATCAGATACAGTCTGGACTTAGAAGCTAGGCCTTGATGTTCTCCATCAGATGGTTCCATGTAGTTCTAAACCTTTTTGCTATGCCTGTAGCTTTCTGGGGATGTGTATATAAGAACTTCACTCAGGAAGTTAAACTCAAGTATTGCAACTCCTCTGTTTAGTTTACACATCTGCACAGGAACAGTTCCCTCTCTGAAGCTTTTAACAGCTTAGAAAGTATTCTAAAAATACCAGTATCTCTTGACAGTACTTACAACTGACATTTCTGGAATGCTGAAAGAAAAGGCTATAATCTGTGCTCACATGAAGGTACTAGAGAAGAGATTGAGTGCAAAGTTACCAGAGATCCCTTAGTTGCATAGCACACAGAAGTGTGATAACTATCACTATATCTTTGTCCTTCTACTCTCCCTTTGTACACAGATGATTGAAGGATGAAATGAAAAACTGAGAGCTAAAAAGGTTTATGTCACTCAGTGTGCTTGCTAAGTGGGGAAAAAACTGCTAAGGGCTTTTAAAATGCTCCTTTAAATCTCTTCAGCTGTATTTGCCTAATTGTTTTCAAGAGTTTCACAGTAATTGCTAACTAAAGTAAAAAGCTTACCACTATTAGACTTTTT